ATTGTACAGCACCTGAATGATGGCATCCTTCCACTCCTGCGGCATCTCTCCCCCATTCCACACTTCGACGAAGATGGCACGGAGGCGCTCCAGTACAACTGGCTCGTCGTCGCCGTCGACCTTGAGCAGTTCGGCGGCAAGGAGGTCGGGACCAACCGCCTTCCAGTTCCCCAGGCCTTTCGTCGCCGCCTCAACCTCCTCGAGGTCTGGTACCGCCGCCAGGTGTCGGGTGGCGCGCGTCGCTGGTCGCTGCATCACCTGTTCGACAACGTCTGGGTTCAGAGTGGGGGACTTGGAGTTCAGGAGGGTATTGAAGAATCTCCGCCACCGCTTGAGGATGGCATCCTTGTTCCGGAGTAGCACGCCGTTCTCGTCTGTAACGAACTGCTGCCCCCCAGCTTGTCTCCCGCTGAGGCCCGTTGACCGCTTGAGGTGTTGGTACAGCCCCCGCATGTCGCGGTCCTGGTAGATCGCTTCGAGCTCCGTCACGTATCTTTCCAGGTGGTCGTAGCGTGCGGCGCGATGCGAAACAACCGCCTGACTCAATCATCAACGTAGTTACACTGTAGAGGGAAACAGCATGACACCGGCTGACGCGTCTTTAAACATGGCCCCGGCCGAGGCAACCATGTGGCTCGTGGTGACTCGTGAAATGCAGGCTTCCGATTGGTAGATGGCTCGTGAAGATCTGTCCCGCCGAGGTTGAACCGAAAAGAGCCATCAAACATCAAACAACCCCACACACTCTCCTTCCTCCTCACTTTCCTTCCTGAAACCAGCGCAATCAACGTCTCGGTGATAACGTGAGTGGACAAACTGGAGCACCTTCTGTACCACACACGCCACACACAGCCTTCGTCGACCGACCAACCGTGGTATCTCTCTGACCTTTTTGTACCCTGCTCGACAACGCCGAACTTCCGAGGTGAGTGCCTTGACATCCATCGATGTTTGATTGACACGCTTGCTGGTTTGTGGTTGGACACAAGGAAAAGTGTTTGGGCGATTTGCTGGTCAGAAGTACCTAGTTTTCTGCGAGACCCGGCCAAATGCGTGAAAAAAAACAAGTACGTGAGATGAGCATCGATATTGACCCCCATTCCGTTTAGTTTGCTACTCACGATGCTGCTCCTTCCTTCTTGTCAAAAACTCTTTTTAAAATTTCTCACTCTCTGGTCGAACCTGGCAAATCATTTTATGGAGGTCTCGAAAAGTGTTGTGACTGATTACATAGGACCTCAATGTTGTGGCGCAATCCAACATGACCCAAAATTTCAACCCACCCGCGGGCGATAGTTTACAGCACACACACACCGCGCCGCAGACGAAGGCGGGGCTGAATCCAGCGAAGTACGCGACAAAGCGCGTGCATTGTTATGACACACGATAGGACAAGGGGCGTTGAAGCTTCCTTGGCCGGGATCAACTACGTGTTGCTGGTGGGGGAGTAGAAAGGACAAAGAAAGGCGTTGCAGTTGACGTGGACGAAGAAGTCCTTTAACCCTTATGTGACTGGGTTTTCCCTGGATCTTCCGAGGGTCTTTTTTTTCTACACTGGGCGAAGCGACCGCTGACATCATCAAGGCCAAGGCTATGGAACACAAATATTTCAACCACCGTCTCCCGTTCTCTACACACCCTACCGGTATCTCCCACATGCACTCGAGTACACATGGTCGCATCCACACGCCGCTCCCTTGCTCACACAAATCTTTGGTATGTAACAGCAGACCAACACACATCAGGGCTCTCATCGGTGACTGCTGTACGAGCTGGGCGTGAACTGAATATCGGGTCAAATAGAATAAAATCGTGCCAAATTATCAATTTCTATACTACAGATAGAGGGGGAAGATCGGAGCTGTGATCAGAGTTGTAGTCCCGAAAACCCTTGCTATTGTGAGCGAAAAGTGGCCGGGGACGATAGTCTCCTTGCCGCTCCTACCTCTCTACCTTTAGGCACAACAGCAGCAGCAGAAGTAACCCAATCACTACCATCATCATGGACCCAGAGGAAGTTGCTCAGTTTTGGCAGCACATGGCACACCAATGGCATCCCGAGACGGGTCCACGTGTTGTCTGGGATGAGCTGCTGGCCATCGCGAACTCCACGCCAGACCAACTTCCCGACGCCACGGCTGCTGCAGCCCGGTAGAACAGCGCTACTGTCAACACGGGGCAGCAGAGCCGCAGCCCCTACCCGAGATCAGGAACCTTGCGAAAAAAGGAAGACCGCGGCGCAGCAGCACCCCGGTCTCTGCGGGTACCATTGTGTAGGGGACGCTACTGCTGCTGTGCTGCTATCCCCGTCGTTATAATGTTCCTTCTCGACGGTCTACTCGTCCAGTCGAGCCCTCGTCGACGCAGGTATCCACAGCTCAATTCGGTTCGATAATGTCGCATTAAAGAGTCATCGGAGCTGGGAAAGGAGCTCATTCGTGGGTGTAGTCACAAAATTTCACCAACCCACCCGCGGGCGATAGTTTACAGCACACACACACCGCGCCGCAGACGAAGGCGGGGCTGAATCCAGCGAAGTACGCGACAAAGCGCGTGCATTGTTATGACACACGATAGGACAAGGGGCGTTGAAGCTTCCTTGGCCGGGATCAACTACGTGTTGCTGGTGGGGGAGTAGAAAGGACAAAGAAAGGCGTTGCAGTTGACGTGGACGAAGAAGTCCNACGAAGGCGGGGCTGAATCCAGCGAAGTACGCGACAAAGCGCGTGCATTGTTATGACACACGATAGGACAAGGGGCGTTGAAGCTTCCTTGGCCGGGATCAACTACGTGTTGCTGGTGGGGGAGTAGAAAGGACAAAGAAAGGCGTTGCAGTTGACGTGGACGAAGAAGTCAACAGGAGGGCACCAAGCAGCGACCGAGATTCAAGACCCAGCACAGACCCGCACGTAAATTCAGCACCAGCGTATTTATTGACCACAACAAACCAAGGAAGATGTACCCTGATTGCAGCGATATGTTGGGTTGCAGCGAGTGGGCGTGATTCTTCGGCGTGAATGTTTCGAGGGTTGCAGCGAGAAGACGTGGTGTTTCGTGAATTTCGAGCGTAAATGTTGTGGTACTCAAGGCCTCACCATTTCTCCAACCACCATTTGAGGTTCATTTTTGAAGACAGCAGTTTGACAAAGAGACCGTCGTCTCCCTTCTTCAAGCGTAATCGCTACACAGCTATCTCGCAAAGCTTCATGTCATTAATTATTTTTATTTGATGCCATTCATAAGTCGTCCGAGCTCAGCACGCATTAGGAGCCGGCTGGATTTGGCGCTTCCCAACTAGATTTTTGCCCACCACTCGCAGACCAGTCTTCGTATATTATCGTCAAACAGATATGCATTTATTTGCGTTTTGAGGTCTACTCAGACAGAAGAGGCTGCTTGAGAGAATGTGTCTTCATTTTGCAACATACCTGCTGCACTCAGTGATTTTGACCATATAACACGAACCACCTCTCCGCCTCCCCCCTCCTCCCCTCCCCGGGGGAGGCCGAGGCCCGCAAGTGCAGTTA